CAACTCTTTCCTCAAGAAGATTATTCTGACAATAAAATGATAAATTTCAATCGTAAACTTTATTCCATTAACATCCATATCACTCCATAAAAAAATTTTTTTATTTTCTTAGTTGAACACGATGCCAGCAGCGCGCTGACGCTCAGCGATTTCCAGCAGCTCAAAGACGTGGGCGGGAAGAGGGTGGGGAGTGGGCAGGATGCTGGACTGGGGCTGGAAGCCGTTCTCGTTGGCGATGTAGGTGACAACAGCCTGGGTACCGTCTTCAAGGGTATAGCTGTAAGGATAACTCTCATAACAATATATTCCTTTTCCCTAGCAAAGGAAGAATTCTCATGATGCGCGGCAAAGAAAATGGAAATATAGAATTATGCGAATGTCTGATCAGTTTTTCTATTGAAAAAAGTTTCTACCACTTACGTGTAAGATCCCTGCTGATTTATCTGACCGGCAGATCCAACAACTCCTTCAACGGCTGTATTGATGCCGTTGTCGGCTTGCACGGCGTAGGAGAAGGTGCCGTCTTCGTTGGCTACGCGGTCATCGCGAAGGAGGGTGACCACTCGGTCCTCCAGCTTAGCAGCAACAGCTACGGCAGCAAGGCAGGCAAGAACGATCTGGGAATAAAATATATTAACAATATTTACTTCCCGTTATATTTACCAATGCATTGTGCATGTGTAACTCTTGTGCCTCAAGTACACAAACATGTAACAAATAGTTTATGTGTACGTATAAATGCACACATATGGTTTCATGGAATCCCTCTACTCACAAGCTTCATATTGTTTATTCGGGGGAGACCTGGAGACCAGTGGTAGCATCCCACGTCAAAGACGACCTTTATATACCTCTGTTCTGAAGGAAGGGGGCGGAGCTAATCCCATAAATTTAGGGCGGAGCCTTTACCGACCGCAAGGTAGAGCGTCTTAGTACCTGCATCTATGCCTAATGGTCACTACTCAGAGAACAGAATCTCCAGTGACACTTTAAAAGGGAGAACAGTTTTTAAGCATATTAATCAAAACACTCCTTTAAACCTTCCTATCAAATACTTGTATAATGCACATAGTTCAAAATTGTTTGGGGAATTATTAGATTATCTGCACAGCAAATAAGCTGGTTAAAAGATTTAAAAGAGATTCTGCACTCCAGAGCATCTTAAACTGGTGTTCACGAATCCCCTGTAGAACATCCAAAGGTGCAAGATAATCATATTAAAAGAATTTTTAATAACATTCTAAGTTGTCCTGATTAATGTACAACTAAATCACAAGAGGTAAAAGTATTTTTTTGAAATCATGTTCTGGAGCATTTTAAGGTCAGTGAAGGATATCGCATACAGGTTATTTGCAGCCAGGATATTAATAGGATTTAGGCCTAGTCTCATCTTTTAGATCACTTTTTAATGCCCTTTTAAAATTGGCTATGAATCGTCTGGTTTATCCCTTTACGCAATTGTTTCCCTTTTCCTATCGCTGATTTCCCTTTTCTTTCGTTGATTTTATTTTATTTTTTTCTGTCATTGAGTTCTCTTTCCTATAATTGATTTTTTTTCTCATTGATTTTCTTTTTCTATAATCGGTTCCATTTTTCTATTAATTATTTGCTTTTATATCACAGACTTTTTTTTCTATATTATCCTCTTTCTATCATTAATTTCCCTTTTCTATATTTGATTCCCTTTTTCTATTATTTTCGTTTTCTATTATTGATTTCCTTTTTCATAATTGATTTCCGTTCTTCATCGTTGATTTCCTTTATCTATCGTTGATTTTTTTTATACATTGATCACCTTTTCTATCAATTCCTTTTTCTGCATTTATTTCCTTTTATTTGTTTTTTCTACCGTTCATTATCCTGTTTTATCATTAATTTCCTTATTTCCATAATTAATTTCCTTATTTCTATCATTAATTTCCTTATTTCTATCGTTTATTCAATTTTTCAAGCATCCTTTTTCTATCATTGTTTTACATTTTCTATCAATGTTTTGCTTATATCAACATTGATATCTTGCATTTACAGTTGATTTCCTTTTTCTCTCCATTTCCCTTTTTTTATCGTTTCCCTTTTTCTATCATTGATTTCGTTTTTCTTTCACGTCCCGTAATGAGTGGACAAATAAGTAAAATATTAGTAAAGGTAAAATGCTGTGAAATGATATATAATCCAATATTCTATCATAGCTCCATATCCTTGACAATGAATAGGTTTTCAGGTAAAGACAATGTGAAAGTGCCATATATATTATTATACCTTTTTAATGCGTTAATTTTTCTAAACAATCTAGTCTTTATCGTAAAGCGGCCCAATTTTAACAGTTTCATTGCTAGCACTGTTGCCCTGCATTTGGACAATAGGCTTATTCGCTGTTCCGATAAGCGTTGAGGTAATTCATACATTGCATCTTATACTAGTTAAGGTGAAAATATCATAGAATAACTGAAGATTTAAAAAGAAAAACAAAAAGTGTAAATAATTCATGACAAAAGTGATTTTACCAGAACAGAATGCAAACATACCAATGCAATGAACGTGATTCATATGTTTATGATATCGGTTGACTGACCAACTCTTTCCTCAAGAAGATTCTTCTATGACAGAATAAAAATGATAATTTCAATCGTAAACTTTATTGCATCAACATCCATATCACTCCCATAAATAATTTTTTTCTTATTTTCTTAGTTGAACACGATGCCAGCAGCGCGCTGACGCTCAGCGATTTCCAGCAGCTCAAAGACGTGGGCGGGAAGAGGGTGGGGTGTGGGCAGGATGCTGGACTGGGGCTGGAAGCCGTTCTCGTTGGCGATGTAGGTGACAACAGCCTGGGTACCGTCTTCAAGGGTATAGCTGTAAGGATAACACGCATCAACAATATATTCCTTTTCCCAAGCAAATGAAGAATTCTCATGATGCGCGGCAAAGAAAATCGAAATATAGAATTATGTGAATGTCTGATCTTTTTTTTTTTTTTTTTATTGCAAAAGTTCTCACCACTTACGTGTAAGATCCCTGCTGATTTATCTGACCGGCAGATCCAACAACTCCTTCAACGGCTGTGTTGATGCCGTTGTCGGCTTGCACGGCGTAGGAGAAGGTGCCGTCCTCGTTGGCTACGCGGTCATCGCGAAGGAGGGTGACCACTCGGTCCTCCAGCTTAGCAGCAACAGCTACGGCAGCAAGGCAGGCAAGAACGATCTGGGAATAAAATATATTAACAATTTTTACTTCCCGTTATATTTACCAATGCATTGTGCATGTGTAACTCTTGTGCCTCAAGTACACAAACATGTAACAAATAGTTTGTGTACGTATACATGCACACATATGGTTTCATGGAATCCCTCTACTCACAAGCTTCATATTGTTTATTCGAGGGAGACCTGGAGACCAGTGGTAGCATCCCACGTCAAAGACGACCTTTATATACCTCTATTCTGAAGGGGGCGGAGCTAAACCAATAATTTTAGGGCGGAGCCTTTACCGACCGACAGGTAGAGCGTCTTAGTACCTGCATCTATGCCTAATGGTCAATACTCAGAGAACAGAATCTCCAGTGACACTTAAAAAGGGAGAACAATTTTCAAGCATATTAATCAAAATACTCTTCCTTTAAACCTTCTTATCAAATACTTATATAATGCACATAGTTCAAAATTGTTTTGGGGAATTAGAATATCTTTACCGCAAATAAGCTGATTAAAAGATTTAAAAGAGATATTTTGCACTCCAGAGCATCCTAAACTGGTGTTCACGAATCCCCTGTAGAGCATCCAAAGGAGCAAGATGATCATATTAAAAAATAATAATAATAATAACATTCTAAGTTGTCCTGATTAATGTAGAACTAAATTACAAGAAGCAAAAGTATTACTTTGAAATTATGTTCTGGAACATCTTAAGGTCAGTGAAGGAAAAAGCATACAAGTTATTTGCCGTTAGTGTATAAACACAGGATTTAGGCATAGTGTCATCTTTTAGATCACTTTTTAATGACCTTTTAGCCCTGGTCATGAATCGTCTGGGTTATCCTTTTCTGTAATTGTTTCCCTTTTCCTATCGCTGATTTCCCTTTTCTTTCGATGATTTGATTTTAAACTTTTCTGTCATTGATTTTTTTTTTTTTTTTTCTATAATTGACACTTTTCACTGATTTCCTTTTTCTATAATCGGTTCCCTTTTTCTATTAATGATTTGCTTTTCTATTACAGATTTTTTTCTATCTTTATTATCCTCTCTCTATCATCGATTTCCCTTTTATTTATTTGATTCCCTTTTTCGATTATTTTCGCTTACTATTATTGATTTCGTTTTTCATTATTGATTTCCATTCCTCATCGTTGATTTCCTGTATGTATCGTTGATTTCCTTTTTCTACCGTTCATTATCCTTTTGTATCATTTTCTTATTTCTACCATTAATTTCCTTATTTCTATCATTTATTTCATTTTTCAATCATCCTTTTTGTACCGTTGCTCTGCCTTTTCTATCATTGCAAGGTAAAATGCAGTGAAATGATATATAATCCAATATTTTGTCATAGCTCCATATCCTTGACAACGAATAGGTGTTCAGGTAACGGTAATATGAAAATGCCTTATAAGTTATTGTACCTTTTTTACGGTATGCAATATTAATGTGCGTTAATTTATCTGAACAATCTAGTCTTTATCGTAAAGCGACTCAATTACTTTTAACAGTTTCATTGCTAGCACTGTTGCCCTGCATTTGGACAGTAGGCTTATTTGCTGTTCCGATAAGCGTTGAGGTAATTCATACATTGCATCTTATACTAGTTAAGGTGAAAATATCATAGAATAACCGAAGATTTGGAAAGAAAAACAGAAAGTGTAAATAATTCATGACAAAAGGGATTATACCAGAACAGAATGCAAACATACCGATGCAATGAACGTGATTCATATGTTTATGATATCGGTAGAATGACCAACTCTTTCCTCAAGAAGATTCTTCTGACAGAATAAACATGATAATTTCAATCGTAAACTTTATTGCTTCAGCATCCATATCACTCCCATAAATAAAATTTCTTTATTTTCTCATTTTCTTAGTTGAACACGATGCCAGCAGCGCGCTGACGCTCGGCGATTTCCAACAGCCTAAAAACGTGGGCGGGGAGAGGGTGGGGAGTGGGCAGGATGCTGGACTGGGGCTGGAAGCCGTTCTCGTTGGCGATGTAGGTGACAACAGCCTGGGTACCGTCTTCAAGGGTATAGCTGTAAGGATAACTCTCATCAACGATATATTCCTTTTCCCTAGCAAAGGAAGAATTCTCATGATGCGCAGCAAAGAAAATGGAAATATAGAATTATGCGAATGTCTGATCAGTTGTTTCTATTGAAAAAAGTTTCTACCACTTACGTGTAAGATCCCTGCTGATTTATCTGACCGGCAGATCCAACGACTCCTTCAACGGCTGTGTTGATGCCGTTGTCGGCTTGCACGGCGTAGGAGAAGGTGCCGTCTTCGTTGGCTACGCGGTCATCGCGAAGGAGGGTGACCACTCGGTCCTCCAGCTTAGCAGCAACAGCTACGGCAGCAAGGCAGGCAAGAACAATCTGGGAATAAAATAAGTTAACAATTTTTACTTCCCGTTATATTTACCAATGCATTGTGCATGTGTAACTCTTGTGCCTCAAGTACACAAACATGTAACAAATAGTTTATGTGTATGTATACATGCACACATATGGTTTCATGGAATCCCTCTACTCACAAGCTTCATATTGTTTATTCGAGGGAGACCTGGAGACCAGTGGTAGCATCCCACGTCAAAGACGACATTTATATACCTCTATTCTGAAGGAAGGGGGCGGAGCTAAATCCAGTAATTTTAGGGCGGAGCCTTTACCGACCGACAGGTAGAGCGTCTTAGTACCTGCATCTATGCTTAATGGCCACTGCTCATCGAACAGAATCTCTAGTGACACTTTAAAAAGGGAGAACAATTTTCAAGCATATTAATCAAAATACTCTTCCTTTAAACCTTCTTATCAAATACTTATATAATGCACATAGTTCAAAATTGCTTTGGGGAATTATTAGAATATCTGTACCGCAAATAAGCTAATTAAAAGATTTTAAAGGGATATTTTGCACTCCAGAGCATCCTAAATTGGTGTTCACGAATCCCCTGTAGAGCATCCAGAGGTGCAAGATGATCATATTAAAAGAATTTTTAATAACATTCCAAGTTGTCCTGATTAATGTACAACTAAATTACAAGAAGTAAAAGTAATACTTTGAAATTATGTTCTGGAACATCTTAAGGTCAGTGAAGGAAATAGCATACAAGTTATTTGCAGTTAGTGTATAAACACAGGATTTAGGCATAGTCTCATCTTTTAGATCACTTTTTAATGACCTTTTAGCACTGGTCATGAATCGTCTGGGTTATCCTTTTCTGTAATTGTTTCCCTTTTCCTATCGCTGATTTCCCTTTTCTTTCGTTGATTTGATTTTAAACTTTTCTGTCATTGATTTCTTTTTTTCTATAATTGACTTACTTTTCATTGATTTCCTTTTTCTATAATCGGTTCCCTTTTTCTATTAATGATTTGCTTTTCTATCACAGATTTTTTTTCTATCTTTACTATCCTCTTTCTATCATCGATTTCCTTTTTCTTAATTTGATTCCCTTTTTTCTATTATTTTCGCTTTCAATTATTGATTTCGTTTTTCATAATTGATTTCCATTCCTCATCGTTGATTTCCTGTATGTATCGTTGATTTCCTTTTTCTACCGTTCATTATCCTTCTTTGTCATTTTCTTATTTCTACCATTAATTTCCTTATTTCTATCATTTATTTCATTTTTCAATCATCCTTTTTCTACCGTTGCTTTGCCTTTTCTATCATTGCAAGGTAAAATGCAGTGAAATGATATATAATCCAATATTTTGTCATAGCTCCATATCCTTGGCAACGGATAGGTGTTCAGGTAACGGTAATATGAAAGTGCCTTATACGTTATTGTGCCTTTTTTTGCGGTATGCAGTATTAATGTGCGTTAATTTATCTGAACAATCTAGTCTTTATCGTAAAGCGACTCAATTACTTTTAACAGTTTCATTGCTAGCACTGTTGCCCTGCATTTGGACAGTAGGCTTATTTGCTGTTCCGATAAGCGTTGAGGTAATTCATACATTGCATCTTATACTAGTTAAGGTGAAAATATCATAGAATAACCGAAGATTTGAAAAGAAAAGCAGAAAGTGTAAATAATTCATGACAAAAGTGATTATACCAGAACAGAATGCAAACATACCAATGCAATGAACGTGATTCATATGTTTATAATATCGGTAGACTGACCAACTCTTTCCTCAAGAAGATTATTCTGACTGAATAAAACTGATAAAATCAATTGTAAACTTTATTGCATCAACATCCATATCACTCCCATAAATAGAATTTTTTTTTCTTTTGAACCGAGCAGCGCGCTGACGCTCGGCGATTTCCAGCAGCTCAAAGACGTGGGCGGGAAGAGGGTGGGGAGTGGGCAGGATGCTGGACTGGGGCTGGAAGCCGTTCTCGTTGGCGATGTAGGTGACAACAGCCTGGGTACCGTCTTCAAGGGTATAGCTGTAAGGATAACTCTCATCAACAATATATTCCTTTTCGCAAGCAAATGAAGAATTCTCATGATGCGCGGCAAAGAAAATGGAAATATAGAATGATGCGAATGTCTGATCAGTTTTTTCTATTGCAAAAGATTTGACCACTTACGTGTAAGATCCCTGCTGATTTATCTGACCGGCAGATCCAACAACTCCTTCAACGGCTGTGTTGATGCCGTTGTCGGCTTGCACGGTGTAGGAGAAGGTGCCGTCATCGTTGGCTACGCGGTCATCGCGAAGGAGGGTGACCAGGCAGCAGCAACCAGCGGCAAGGCAGGGAACGGGGGAAAAAACACTTCCCGTTATATTTTTAACCACTGCATTGTGCATGTGTCACTCTTGTACCTCAAGTAAAGAAACATGTAACAAATGGTTTATGTGTACGTATACATGTACACATATGGTTTCATGGAATCCCTCTACTCACAAGCTTCATATTGTTTATTCGAGGGAGACCTGGAGACCAGTGGTAGCATCCCACGTCAAAGACGACCTTTATATACCTCTGTTCTGAAGGGGGCGGAGTTAATCCCATAAATTTAGGGCGGAGCCTTTACCGACCGACAGGTAGAGCGTCTTAGTACCTGCATCTATGCCTAATGGTAACTACTCATCGAATAGAATCTCCAGTGACGCTTAAAAAGGGAGAACAATTTTTCAAGCATATTAATCAAACCATTCTTCCTTTAAACTTCCTTATCAGATACTTGTATAATGCATATGGGTTAAAATTGCATTTGGGAGTATTAGATTATCTGTACCACAAATAAGCTGATTAAAATATTTAAAAGAAATATATATTCTGTAATCCAGAACATCCTAACCAGGGGTTTACGAATCCCCTGTAGAGCATCCAGAGGTGCAAGACAGTTACATAAAAAAAAGCATTTGAAACAGCGTTTAACGTTGTATTGATTATTGTATAGCTAAATTCCATGAAGCAAAAGTATTACTTCGAAATCATGTTCTGGAACATCGTAACGTCAGTGAAGGAAATCGCTTACAGGTTATTTGTCATCAGGATATAAACATGGGATTCAGGCACAGTCTCATCTTTTAGGATACTTTTTAGTGCCATTTTGACACTCGCCATGAATCTTCAAGTTTATCTTTTTCCGTAATTGTTTTTCTTTTCCTATCGCTGATTCCTATTTTCTTTCCTTGACTCATTTCTTCTATTCTTGCTTTCCCTTTTCTTTTATTGATTTCTTTCTATCATTGGTTCTATTTTTCTCTCGTTGATTTCCCTTTTCTGTTGTTGATTTATTTTTCTGTCTTTGATACCCTCCTATCGCTGATTTCTCTTCCATCGTTGATTTCCTTTTCCTATCAGTGATTTCCTTTAACGTTGATTTCCTTTTTCTATCATCGATTTCATTTTTAGCATTTATTTCCCTTTTTATCATTCATTTTTCTAACATTAGTTTCCTTTTTCTATCGTTAATTATCCTTTATCATTGATTTCCTTTTTCTATCACCCACGTAATTTATCGTTCACATTATTTCCACGAATTATTGAAATATTAGTATCCTTGACAAAAACAAATGTTCAGGTAACGGTAATATGGAAGTGCCTTATACGTTTTTCTTTATTTACGCCATATTTCGATATGCAGTATTAACGTGCCTTAATTTATTTGAACAAGCCAGTCTTTATCATAAAGCGGCTCAATTACTTTAACAGTTTAATTTCTAGCACTGTTGCCTTCCATTCGGACAGTATATTTATTTGCTGTTCCGATAAGCGTTGAGGTAATTCATACACTGCATCTTATACTAGTCAGGGTGAAAATATCAAAGAATAACTGAAAATTTAGAAAGAAAACATGTATATAATTCATTTTAAAATAATGAATCATATCAAAACGCAGAATACAAACACAACAGCGCAATAAGTGTAACTCATATGTTTAAAATATTGATTAAGTGTTTGACCATTACATTCATCGCGAAGATTCTTCCGGACAGAATAAGAATAATCATTTCAATCGTAAACTTTATTGTATCAACATCTTTGTCACTCCCATATATATAATTTCCTTATTTTCTCATTTTCTTAGTTGAACACGATGCCAGCAGCGCGCTGACGCTCAGCGATTTCCAGCAGCTCAAAGACGTGGGCGGGAAGAGGGTGGGGAGTGGGCAGGATGCTGGACTGGGGCTGGAAGCCGTTCTCGTTGGCGACGAAGGTGACAACAGCCTGGGTGCCGTCCGCAAGGGTATAGCTGTAAGGATAACATGTATTAACAATATGCAGTCATTCGCTAATAAAGAAATGATACAGTGTATTATGGATACGCGTTAAAAAGGTTTGAATTATTAGAAAATTATGCGAATGCCTGATCAGTAACTTA